CCCCCCCCAACAAACACCTGTCCACAGTCGGATACGCAATTGTCACAAGACCGAAAGGAAGGGACAAACAGAAAATATATCAAGTGTGCATGAATCGATTACTACTACTCTGGCATTACACGGCCCCGCCCGCAGCCACACACCCATCATCAAACCACACATGACTGACTGTTCGTACGACTATGTCCCCGGTCGTTCCTTCACCTCGAGGTCGGGCAAGCCACCAGCATCGCCGTGGGCAGACCGGAAGACGCCTGGGTCCGTGTAGAACTCCGGCACGCACTCGTCCGGCGTCCAGCTGTACATCCTGGCGAGGGACTTCGGGTACTCCTCCACAACGAGCTCTCTCCGGACGACGTCCTTCAACACCTGCGTCCAAAAAGACGACGTTGGCCGAGTCTGCAACGGTCGGAAGTGAAATGTAGCGCCTTTTTGTCTTCGAGGAGTTACCCCAATCAACGTGCGTTTGTTCGACTCTTTACGACATCCCCCGGGAGGGAGAGCGAGGGGGTTCGATGGCACTACATAGTGTAAGCATCAAATTGTAGGACAAGGGATGCGGTTTTCAGACCCCCGATATCGGGCGACGAACGACGGCGATATGACGGCAAGCTGCAGCAGTCCCTCGGGGAACAGGACAAGGTAGAACATCTCGCACGGCTACCGCCAGGCACAGGCGGTTCACTGTCCCTTGAAACACACAAAATATAACCTCTTCTACTAATACTACTGTACCCTCCTGGCCTCTACTACTCCATACTGCGCACGTTCACAGAGGTCTGCTTCCGTACGCTCAGAATACCCCAGGACACATCCAACCAGCATGCCACCGAAACGGAAGGAACACGTTACCTTTCCGCACCACACATAGGCATACATAACGCCTGTGTTTAGCCCGCACCTGTAGAGGGAGTCGCCGAGCGAGGTACACGGTGAGCGTAAGCTCCGAGAGACTCTCCGGGACGTGATGAGGCGGCTGCCCTTCCAAGTACGACCTATCAAGCTGGACCGGAAGGCACGTAATGCGATTCGCGGCACCACGGGGTGAAAAGCGACCAAGAAGCACGATTGCCGAGGTCAGACAAAACAGAGAAACGACGTTGACTCCCACGCGTCGTACACCGCACAAACAAGGTAGGTGGAGGGTGCGGCCGACAGAAATGAAGGTTTCCGTGTGAACCGCGACAACAGGAATGCACCGTATTGTGTCCCGTGGCTCGCGGTGTGCCGCTTTGTGGTACACCTGCTGTGCAAGAACTGATTGCCAATGGATTGCGCGCGATTGATTTTCGCCCTGCCGTATATGTATCACTTCGCTCAAACCCGGTACCTGCGCGTCTCCCTTCTTGAGCCGAAACTTGCTTTTTGTCAGATCCCTCCAGCCCGTCCCTTCCCCGCCCCCCCAAACTCCTCCCGCCACCTTCTCCTCCTCCTCCGTCACTTGATGCAATAAATCGCACACCCACGGCACGATCGGATGGCACGAACGGTCCCCAACCATCCGCCCGGCGGCGGCATTGACGGCAAGGAGATACTCCAAGTTCGAAACCATGCCCTTAACCCAGCGGTAGGTGAGCGGAAGGTCGTGACCCGGCGATCGCCGAGGGCTAGCTTGTGGTTGTCGCGACAGTGCCTGCTGGTGCTGGTGCTGGTGCTGGTGCTGCTGGTGCTGCTGCCTCCCGAGCAGCAGCGGAATCGACGGCGCTATTTGTACCCAAAGGTTTTCGGTGAGCAATATGCTGCTTGAGCTGAGGTTTCCGACTGTGATGCCTTTGGCTGCCGGTGGAGACAGCAAGCAAGAGCGGGAAACGAGTGGAGGACGTGCCGGCCGATGATTCCAGAGGGCGAGTACTCGTGCCTGCCACAATAAAAGGGTCTCTCAAGGAAGAACCGTCAATATACAAAACGTCCACTTCACGAGTAGCAGGGGAGAATGCACTAATGCTCTACGGTGTTCGGTAGAAATGGGCTTCGACAGGAACCTAGGAAGGCGAAGAACGGGCGAGTCTGAAACAGGTGCAGAAGCGATCTGTGCTCTCTCACGGGCAAAAATTGTTCGGTGCACTTTCGACGAATCGTCTACAACGGACGAACCGCGGAGCAATAAAAGCTCTGCACCACGGTATGGACAAGACGCGACACACACCAGACGTTCTTGATTCCAAATAACTTAGTAATTAGTCAATTCTGACCTTGCCCTCTCTCAAGAGGATATCGCACTCCTCGTCCGGTACACGATATTCGTACGCACTCACAGTGAAGAAAGTCGACGGCTCTCAAGAGCTGGTAGAACACGAAGCGCACAACAAGGTCGACTGAATTTCGGTCTCGCCTCCGGCCCGTTCCTGCCACAAGGCGGGAATTGAAATGCGAGAAAAGGACGGCACGAGACAGACGCAGATGTTCCGTCTTCACGTACTGTACCCGACGGATGAAAGGTCCCAACACGAGTCCATACGCCCGACACGAACCGCTGGCAGGTCTTAGTTCAGACGATGGTCCTCGATTTCATTCTGGCGCCATTGGTTTCAATCGTAACGACGGCCCTGTTGGGGGTGTATCACGCCATATCGTTGTGTGGGAGCTTTTGTCACCGACCGCCAACCACCCTAACGACGTCGTGGGTTCCTGCGAGAGAGGCCCACGGCAAAGGGCGTGTAATTGTGTGTGTCCGTGGGAGGTCCAGACAGAACAGACTAGACCCGCGAAGGTCTTTGTTGCCCCTAGGTGATATCATCTGTTATGTTTTTTCTCGTCCCTGTACCTTGGAGAATGCTTCACGGTGTTCATTTCACGCCAAAAAGCGTGTTTTTTGCGCTCGCCGGGCGTTCTCAAAAAGGATGTTCCGGTACGTGTGAAGTAGATGCCATCGCTACCCACAAAAGTTGCCCGCTCCCTACCTCCGTGTGCGTGCGTGTTTCCTAAGAACTGTGCCATCTGCGTGAACAGGCTCGACAGCGAGAGGACCTGTAAGCCGTATTCTAGTAGCGAGGCAAAGAATGCTAAGAACTCGTTCTAATTCACAGGCTACCCTTACAGGGACCCTTACAGGGGGCCCTTACAGGGGGGGCGTGGAGGAGACCGGAAAGAACGACCCAGCGTCCGGATGTTGAGAGTGCAAATGAAGACAACACGGCAGCCGTACTATTTTAGAAGTACCACGGGTTGCGTGTGCGATTCCAGCTCCATAATGGTAAGTGGTAACCGTGTGACCTCGTCGTCAAGTGCTGCGACACAAGCCGTCGGTATGCACATGTTCCTCACCCGGTACTCCTCGCTTCGCTCGGCACAGCTGCGTGAAGGCCGTAAGCCTGAAGGGCAAGCACGCAAACATCTGGGACGGCGAGAAACGTCGCATCCATCGCCCAGCAGCGGAGAAGGGAGGCAAAACAACGAGCGAGGCACGAACGTCAGGCAGTTCACGCGGCTCCAGTTCTAACTGTCGCAACACAAAATGGCGCATCTACCCTTGACAAATACATACTCCAGTATGTGTGCCTGATTGCTGCACTGTAAGCACGAGTCAAACGTGGAGGGGTTGCTGTTGCTACAAGCAGTTTAGTCCTGGGCGGGATTTGCTACCGCAACCATTGGGGTGGCACCCTACAACGACCCAGTACATCATTCAAACCTGCGAGAACGGTTAGTATTGCCCAGCTTTGTACATTAACGAACTGTCAGATATCATGAGAAAGAGCTCAATCCGCGCCTCACCACGAACGCGTTGTCGTCGGACCGCACGAGCGGGGAATACAGTGGAGCCAGTCCGGCGTGTAACCGCGTGCAAGGCTCCAACAGGGGCGGTAGCGCTTGCCGTTCGGCGTTGTTGCCGTCATCAATGTCGCCAGGTTTTAGGCTAGCAGTGGCACTGACTGGTGGCTGGTGCGGCGAGTGCACGACGTGCACTCCTCCGTAGATGAGCCCGAGTGCCTCCCGCAAAGCGTCAACGACACCGTTGGCGTCGCTTCGGTCGGCGGTGGCAGTCGCCGTTCTCAGCGCCGGAGACGTCGCCGACATCCGCAACAGGGGCAAAGAGCGGCAGAACACCTCTATGATCTGTCCGGAACCCTGTCCAGAAGGTCCACCAGCAGCTACGGAGACGGAGCGCCCGCAGGAATTGTCACTGCTTCGTCTAGGTTGCTGCTTGTCCCTGCTGCTGCTGTCGTTCTTGTTCATGCTGCACGGCGGTTGCAGCACCGCTGTTGCACAGCAGTTGGGTAGCAGACATCTCGCAGAGTGCGAGGTTTCTCCACTGCTGCTGTTGTTGCTCCCACCTGTCTCCAGCGGCGATTCGGATGAGAAGCTGTAGAGGGCACCGAGATACAGTACAAACACGCTCTCGCGAACCCCAACGGGCTCCCCCATCCGTGAAGCTCGGGCAAGCGGAGAGAGAGCTGTAGGAGGTGCCGTTGCGCTGCCCGGTCGCAGTGATGGCCCGCGAGGCTTGTTGGTTCGGGGACGTTCGGAATCCGTCCCCCCCACATAATCGGACAGCGAGATTACACAACCGACTTTGCAGAGAGCGAGCATCGTGGCGCAGCACCACATAGCTAGAGAACTGACAAAGAGAGCCTCCACAGCAGCAGTAGCAGCGATGTCCCTCCCTCTCAAGATTGGCATGTTCGGCGGCGGCACGGTGGGTGGAGGTGAGCCAAGCCGACAAACATGCTACAACTACATTAGACTATAGTTCGGGACTCAAAATGCAGCCCATGTTGCTTCCTACCCCTTACAACACAGCTTCTTGGTGGCACATGTGTGTGCGTGTAGCTGCGGTGGATTTCCTGGCCAACTGATTGAATGGGCATGGCGTGGGAAGGCGTACATTGCTACTACTGCTGTACCGCCTTCGGAGATGGTGGATGTCGACAGTGCGAAGTGCGAACCCTCAATGAATGGTATGCACACGACAAGTGCATTGACGGACACCGCCGGTACTTCTGCTGTATGCTACCACGGACCGCGAATGAACGAGGCAGTGCGGGCTGGTCATCCCTTTTATCCTTTCAACCTTCCGCCGTGTCTTTCGACGCACCAGCCGGGCTCACGCACGTGGAAGGCGAAGAGGAATCATCGTTTGTGTTGTTGACGATCCTGCCGCTTGTTGTGAACTGTAGATGCCATCATCCCGACAGCACCGTTCCCCCGTTAGGATGCGAAGGTTGGGGCCGGAAAGAAGGCGCCATTGTTTTTTCTTGATTAAATTATCCCTCACAGCGCTTCTGCCGAGTAGAACGTCCAAACCGTGGTCACACAGAAGCCCTGTGCGATAACAAAAAGTCGCAATGACGTGATGTACAACGGGTTTTCATAAAGGTCGCGGAGAGTTTGTGCACTCTCCTGCTGCGTTCTCTCCGACCTGTGCTTTGACAGCGATGTGGAGGTTTTCGCACAGGCGTCGGAGAGATCGCTCAGGGGTTCGATCTCTTGGGCGATCTCTGGTGCGATCTCTCCGACCTTCACCGTGACGAGATTGCAATGTGGAGTCGACCACACTTGCGAGTGGTCGGCGTCGGTTCCCAGGAACGGAAGTAAAAAAGGGATTGGCGAAAGTTCTCGCGCGGCCCGTTGCACACGGTCCCGGTGGGGCTTGCTAAAGCCTCCTTGGTACGTACTCTCGATGACCAGGAGGAGAACCGAGCGGTACCATTTCGGTGGACTACTGTGCTATTATAGACCGTCGCGGGCAGCGTCGGCAAAGTTGCCGGTGGGGCGCCCGTGACCTCGAATACGGGCGGACCCGCGGGCGCGGCGGCTTCGACATGACGATCCTGTGGCGACAACGACGCGTCGCGGTTTGCCAGAGTGTGGCTGCATGAGGCGTGTCATAAAGTCCATATCGGGGTCCGATATGTAGCCGGTGGCGGCGGCGGCGGCGGCGGCGGCGGCGACCGCGGCGCCGAGGGCTCTATTCCCCCCGTGCCATTGCAGCGGCTTCTTGCTGGTGTTTTCTTCTCCAGGTGGGCTGCCTGCTGACGGCGCAATTTTGCGGCCTCCGTCGTGGCTGCCACCGCCCCGCTGTCTGCTCCTCTTGCGGGACAAGCTCGCGTGCATGCTGCGCTGCAACCTGGGCGGCAGTGGCAGCGCTGGCGAGCAGCCAGTCGTTGCTGTTGGAGGTCGAGCGCATTTCCACCCGCTTCGGTGGGGGAGACATTCGGCTGGGGAGGGCGGGGTACGGAAGCTTGGGGATCTCTGGCTTGATCGCGAGCTCCATGCCATTGTACACAAGACCCTACCAGACATCGATGTCACGAATGGTAGATGATCACTCTTGTGATCCCTGTCGTGTAGGTATCCTCGTTTCAACAAGCACGCTTGTATTCTATTGACAGGTACGTAGTTCGGAATGATTTTGGAGAGCAGGCGTCTAAAACAATCACCAAGTTACCGAGAAGACTTACAGCTATCACCATATCACCAAATCAAGGTCTCCAGAATGGAGCAGAACCAGCATTGGTTACAAAGTTGTGTCTTACCGAACCGTGTTGTACGTACACGGCAGTTTGACTTGAAACACGGCCACCTTTGTATGCACAGGCGTTTACGAGATCATGGAGCATACGAAGAAGGAGCTCTTTAAGGCCGGCGGCGTTAACGTCACCATCGCCAAGGCAAGTGCCACGTCTCTTCCGCATATAAGTAGTTGGTGTTGTGCCGCCAACCTATTTCAATTTTTGCATCTTGGCGTATATCCAGGTTGGGTCTTCAAATTTGGGTCCGGGCGTGTATCCAGGTTGGGACACGAAATGGCAACCGGATGCGTTCACAACGCTCCACAGCTACAATAGAGATCACTCCCGCCGAGATATTGGCAGAATAAGATACATGTAACGGCTTTGCGTCGTTGCTCGCGCTTCTCTGGCGGTGACACGATTCGACGGATGATCGTTTTTTCACGTGTTGGTGTTTTTTTGCAGATCTGCGTCCGAGATGTCAACAAGAAACGGTCCTTCGAGCTCGAGAAACACACGACCATGGTCACCGATTACGACGGTGAGCCACGCTCGCACCCATCTCGTTGTGGCCACCTGACATGGGTCTTTGCCCCGTGACCGGCCCTTTGCGGGGCTGGGCCCGGTGGACCAGGAGAAGCCCTGGGTACATGGTACCCGTTAGGATGGTCCGAACTGGGGGTAGACTGTCGCATGGACGTGTTGTTGAATAGGGTGTCGGCAACTCGGCGGGCACGCACCTAGGAGAAAGCCAGTCCTGTTATTGTCGTGTCGTGTTAACCTCGCTCATCGCTCGCACACGCCCCAGCCTGGGGGGCACGCAATGAACAACGGGGTTAGCACACCTATTCATTCATCGTGCCACACAATTACCCCATGTTCTGCTCCATCTAGCGTTGCTACAAGTGTATCCATTTGTAAGACGCCCAGCGGCACTCCCCCGATGGAGTCAAACTGTGCCACGGGCGCCGTGGGCCGAGACAGCAGTAGCCCAAGCGTGAATTTCACGGAGAGGAAGAAGCGTGCGTAGCACCCCAGCTTCCAACGATAGAACGATCAAGGTGCAACTGCAGCGCTTCGCTTGTGCTATGTGGTTCTTCTCCTGCCGCAGCTGCTGCTGAGCTGCTGCAGACGGTTGCTTCCTTTTTTTCTTGGCGTGTCGTGCTCAGGCCTGCTGGTCATGGTCTGCATACACTTCTGTTGTGCGGCTCATTCTCGTTTTTTGCGTCCCTCACTACTGAATTCTGTCAAGATTGATTGTGCATGTGGTAGCCAGGATTAAAGCTGCATGTACACTAGGCGGTATTATGGCAACCCCATTTGCTTGCTCATGCAGTAGTCCAAGTGCCGTTCTTGCTCTGATATTTTGTCTTGTCTTGTGCGTGTGCTTGCTTGATTTGTCTGTCGCGATAAAATATATAACAGAGATCCTCGAAGATGACAGCATCAACTGCGTCGTGGAGCTCATGGGCGGGGTGACACACGCGAAGGACGTCGTGTTCAAGGCCCTCAAGAAGGGCAAGCACGTCGTCACCGCGAACAAGGCCCTCCTGGCCCAGCTCTTGCCCGAGGTACGTGAGGGTTTGCTAGCCGCTCCCGCCGGTGTGCGCGCCCCCACGCGGGCGTATTGCAAGATACGGCGGTAGTCCCTTCGACTGTGCTTTTATCCCGACGTATGTATGTTTGTAGTATGAGAATCTGGGCTGCTGTGCGCACGCTTGAAATTGGTATGTGTGTATGTTTCCCAGCAAGAGAATCGCGGGGAATGCGGATCGCGGAAAACGCCGGCTTTGCAGACGGGGATGATATGCCATGGGTGGTTGTACGACGTGCTGGTCGTTTTTTTTTTTTTTCAGCGAAGAGTGTCGAGAAAATTAGCCTTGGCGGTGCAATAAATTCTGCGGAATATCTCAGCAGCTGATGGTGCTTTCGCACGGTTAGCTCTTTTGTCTCGGGAGGCGTCTTGTTGCCCAGACAGCCCCTGCAACGACCGGAAGCTTGAATACCGCGCATTGCCATTCCGGGTGTGCGAGTTGGCGTCGTGTTGGGGGGTTCCGTGTGGAAATAGGCAAGGTCTCACAGGTACGTACTCCCTGCCCCCGCCGTCTCCCTTGCGTGCTGTACTTCGTGTAGCACTTTCACTCATCACCCGGCACGTCAGGGATGGACCGATCACGGCAGGCACGCATCGAATTTCTTTCTTGTTTCAGGTTTTTCTCGTTTTCGCCGCTTTTTTTATCGTACAATCTGTATTGCTGTTCATGACGTGCACGGGCGGCCCCCCCCCTTTTTTTTTCCTTAGTGTTGTTTGTTTGTTTGTTTGTTTGTTTGCCCAGGTGAAGTCTCTCGTGGCGGAGAACGCGGGAACCTCGCTCGGCTACGAGGCAGCGGTATGCGGAGGTGCGTTCCGGCGTCCCCTTCCGTGAAGACCGTTGCATACACTTGGCGCCCGCGATTAAGAAACGAACCTTCAAGATACGAAAAAACAGGCTCAGATTTTAGCGATAAATATGAAGTATCGACTATTTATCATGAAAAACAGCTCAGGAGTGGATCCAGCACTAGAAGCTATGTAATGACATATGCTCGACGGTGGTCACGAAATAGGAAATTGAGCCTCGACCCCAACTGACGTTGCTTAAACGCGGGCGCTATATAGCTGCATAGCTCCGTGCGCAAGGGCGGCAGCACTGACGGTACTGGTCGGTACGACTGTCCTCTGCGATACATTCTTGTAAATGTGGTACACGCGGGCGGTCATGACCCCGCGTCGAGCGGTTTTTTGTTCCGTCCGGGTCTTGGTCTCGGGATTGAGGTTGAGATGCGCCGGAGGCGTACACATTTAACAACGACTTTTGTATCTTCCCGGATAGACTGAACGTGCAGAACGCGGTGGGCGTTGAGGGGGGGGGGGGGGCGTCAGCCCTCCC